ATATGTAACAAGCTGGGATTATATGATATATATTCACCAGCTTGAGGGGGAGTCTTAGTGAAGGGGTATTTCGGTCTTTGTACACCTGTTGAGAGTGCTGATGTGTACTATTATGTTAGTTCGAGTGCCTCTTACTTAAATAAGGGCACTCTTGTCTTTTCCAGTCACATTAATAATATAATAACAGGTCTGGCCGAATCTAGGGAGACTTTTCCTAACTTTCGAAGCAGACCTTTTGTCTTCTCCTTCCTCTTTCTTCCTTCTTCTTCTTTCTTTTCTTCCTTCTTGCTGTATACTTTACAACTAACAAACAAAACAGATTTCTAGGGCAGGCTGAACTTTAACAAGATCTACTATTTCAAGTGAGTGTTCCCACTCAATTTTGGGAGGATGTTGTTCAGACAACAAACTTGATCAATAAGTTTCCATTAAAAATACATAAATTACTTTGCTCACATCAGCTACTAGATGATCCTTGAGAGTCTTTGGTTGTGTTTATTTTGTTCATGACTTGAGTCTTTCCCAAGTTAAGTTGACCCTAAGGCCATAAAGTGTGGTTTGCATGGCTATTCACCTATTCAAAATGGGTATAAATTCTATGGTCCTTCTTCATACAAGTGTATGGCCTCTAATGATGTCACCTTCTTTAAATCCTAGTATTTCTTTTAAATTCATGTCTCTCCTCAGGAGGAGAATCTATCTGAATAGAGACAGAGTCCTCTTTCTTCCACTACCTGTTCCTTTTGAAGTGCCAACATAGGAATTGTAGGTGTCTATTAGGCATAAGAAGATGATTTTTGAAGTTGAACAACAACCACAGTATCTCCTCGGGTTCAGGTAATGTTTCTCTTCCTGTCAATTCATCTATTGTTTTTTGCTGATTCTACTTTTGTTCAACCTTATGTTTATCTTGTTCGGACTTCTGTTAATCTTGATCTTCCCTTTGCCTTACATAAGGGGAAAAGGCAATGTACACATACTTGGGAAGGCATACCTAGTAGAGGACTATTGTGTGCTCATCATGGTCATAAAGTTGGAAGGCATATATTTACGTAAGTTGGGCTGGATCTGTAAATGATAGGTCTGCTTCAGATTACTATACATTTATCGATGGGAACATCATTTCTTAGAGAAGTAAGAAACAATTTGTGGTTACTAGGTCAAGTGCAGAATCTGAATAATGAGCAATGGTACACGAGGTAAGTTTTTCTAAGACCTAAGAACTCTCATGACTGAGTTGGAATTTAATTTTGAGACAACCAATCAGCTACTCATATTGATAAAAACCATGTTTATCATGATCATACTAAACACAGAAATTCAGGACAAAGTTGCAAGTGGAGAAATCTACCTTTTATGGTTAAGTGATCAACTAGTTTATTGTGAGGTTGTTCCTCAACCTAAGATGGAAGACAACTTGTAAAGCTTGGAATGTATGATATTCATGCCAAGCTTGAGGGGGAATGTTGACAGGAACCAATTTAGGGGCAAACTTGTCTACTCCTAATTTTTAGTGATGAGGAGCTTCAATACATATTACTATAAAAATTAATTATAATGATGGCTGCAGCTTATTTTGCTTTTTCATTTCTTTTTTTTTTCTCTCTAATCTCAAGTCTTCCATCAATCATTAACAAGTATAAACAACAATAAAAGTAAGAATCCAAGATTTTTTCAATTATGGGACAGTGTTTTTAAAATTGACCCAAAAAAATAATTGTTTTTTCATCTGGGTGGGAGACTGAGATTCAACTGTTTGGGTTAAACAGGACAATGTGCTGTCATGCTAAATAACAAAATATATAGAAAATAGATAAAATCACAACAAAGTTATTGAAAAATACAGTTTTATAGAAAAAATTGGGCATAACTCTAATCTTATATATTTATCATATTAAACAAAAAATAATGCAATAAATAAGAAGTATTTTTATTAATATTTGATCTGTAACCCATAGGCCGGGCTAAACAGTTCAACTGATCAGATCACCCAATTAATGGTATTTTGTGGGAAAGCAATTCGGTAGTGAAACAGACCCAGAATTCTGGATGGGTGATGGGTTAAGCAGTCTGAACAACCAGTTCAACCATAGGTTTAAAAAATATCAATTAATACTTTGGGCTGCTCAATTCACAGTTAAGTCATGCATCACCAGCCTCCAATCTAATGAATTTTATGTATTTACCGTCAAAACCTAATCTTCATTTGTTTTACCATACACCAGATGATGGCAAACATGGCCACGTTTGGGGCAAACATGTCAAAACCCAATGCATTTTGGGACTTCATCATGGGGATAACTTATAAACCCTAAGGGTGCAATTCAGGTGGGTCTGCGCCTAGCATTTCTTAATTGATACAGCTGAAATTCTTAAAATCAGGAATTCAAATTTGCACCTGTAATAAACCCTTCCAAAGAGATAGTTACAAGGATAGAAATTGGAAGCAACAAAACAATTTTAATGGGCATTGCAATGATCTCCTACATTTCATAAGAAGGTTATAGATATTAGATGGATCGCTTCCCTATTGAGTATTTTACTATTTAGCGTTCATATCAACCAGGTAATATAACATGATAGCACGTTGATACTAAAAAAGGTGCTCAAGAAGAACCCACATGAATAAAAGAAAGTTTACCTGATAAGTCCAAAATGAATTTGTAAGATCCATCTCTCCATTTTTCAATCCTGTCAGTTTAATTTGTCCTTTAAATCCTGCTCCATCTTTCTCAAGGAAGGCACCAGAGTTCTAAATGAAATAATAAAAGAGACAATGAAATTAAGTCCCTCTCCATTATTAATCATTTACTAATTAGAAATTTAGTACCAAATAATGGAAAACCAAAATCTATAACAGGACCCAAAAGCTTTAAGACGAAGCATTTAGACTGTACAAAAGAAAATCTTATCCCTATTATCTTCTTCAAAATGTGGACTAATCTGTACTACTATTAGAAGTGGGAATGACATCTAGATTCTAGAATTTTTCTTGACTAAAATAACCCTACTGCTGAATTTAGTCCCATTTTATCATAAGGGGAAAAAACACAATCTGATCTACTAGTTATATTAATTCACTCCATTCCCTATATTTAAGGTATTAACTCCTATCCCCCTCTCATTAAATCTTATATTTACTGTATATTAAATTAATGAAATTTGTGGACTTTTTCTTCACTAAACACCCCCACTTTTGAATTTGTTCCATCTCTAACTGTGAGCAAAAACATGTAATTTAAACTATTATTTTACACTTCATTCAATTGCCTCTCATTAAGGTGTTAACTCCCCCTCCTTAGATCCTTTATTTGAAGAAATTAACTCCCAAATTCCCTCTCATTCGTCCCAAATTGCCACTTTCTGATTTATTCCATCAAACTACATTACATCAAAATATAGCCATAGTCCGCTTCACTTGGAGTTAGTGTTCTTCCTTGACTTCCTCATCAAAATCAACTCCCTTGAATAAGTCAATTTTGGGTGCTTTACTAGTATTGTCTATATGATGTGTAGTTTCGTAGTATTTTGTGCCAAATGTATTAAATGCAATTTTGCTGATAAATTGGAATCTTAATTCAGGACATATGGGATAAACTTCTCCAAATTTGGCTATTCCACAGAGTAACCCATGACCACATCCAAAACTGCAAGTAATATGTAGATACTACAGCAGAGGAAAATAGTGTTATCTCATTAAATTGATGCCACCACATGATAAARCACATTAACATGGATAAAACAGCAAATGCCAGAGTCTTCATGAGATTCTGGTTAGACAAAACTTCAGACAATATGCAGATCGGAATGTTCTAGAAAGAAGATTGACAGCTTATCTTATCAAATGCTAGGATAAGATGCATCTAAAGTATTCTTTTAATTAAAATTACCTGCAAGCCCACTGTCTGGGATAATATTGCCAGCTCATTGTATCCTTGTGATAAATTTAGAGGATGCACCACTTGGACCCAATGTCCAACTGTACTGCCTTCATTTTCAAAAGATATATCAACTTGGGTGAAACTAGCATGAACTATGTGAGCATTAAAAAATATAAATAAGATTAGTAAGATATGTGCATTTTAGTCCTATGCTTTATTTACATATGCAGAATCACATGACTGGGATGAGCATGCAGGTCAATGATCATTCATTACACACTGAAGATGGTTGTGGGAATAGTGTATTAAAGGGGTAATGATCATGTGGTTGGACTTTGTATGCAAACTGCAGGGTAATCAAGGGATTGTCAGTGTATTATTGTGAATACATCAAGGTTGGGTTTCTTAACCATCACTGGTTTCGGATCGTTAGCAGATTAAAATTTGAGGCTGTCACCTTAATCATAAAACTTGACTCCTACAAGGGGAATTGCTAAATATGAATATGTCAATCTTCCAATTCGTGAGAACACCAAAGGTTTCAGGGGTGTCTACAGTAATATTGGACCCCCACCCAAAATGAGTCAAAATATATATATTAATTATGTATAATTGCAATTGATCCCTTGAAAGGATGAAGAGGAAAAACAAAGAATTACAAAAGAGCCCTTAGAGGGCTAAAAGATAAAAAAGAAGAAAAATAAGACTAAGACTATAGTACAACATGGACCATAGAACTATAGTACATCAAGTGTCTCCACACTCCCCCTCAAAGGCTCAAACTGATGCTGAGACATAAGCATCAGTCTGCCCACCAGATATAGATGTCTAAATCCCATCATAGGCTTCGTAAGTATATCAGCAATCTGCAAATTGGAAGCAATATGTGGAAGAGAGATGGAGCCAACAAGAAATAAATCCCTAATAAAGTGCCAGTCCACCTCAATGTGCTTGGTTCTCTCATGGGACACTGGATTAGACGCAATCTTGGTGGTGCTAGTGTTATCAACATAGAGAGAAATAAGTGTAGGGAGGTGAACACCAAGATTAGCAAGGAGAGATTGAAACCAAACAATCTCACTACACACAAATGACATAGCCCTATATTCGGCTTCTGTAGATGACTTAGAAACTATTTGTTGTTTCTTGCATTTCCAAGAGATGAGGCAGTCACCGAAAAAGACACACCACCCTGTAGTAGACCGCCATCTAGTGTTAGGGCAGCCTGCCAATTTGCAGCAGCATAAGCCCTCAACTGAATAGGAGAGGAGGAAAAGAATAGCCCCTGAGATAAACTACTACGAACATAACGGATGAGATAGATGAGGGACCCAACAAGTTGTCGATATAGAGTAGCATCAGGAAGCAAGGTCCCATCAGATTTATACAACATTGAATTCTAGAGGTGTAGCAACTTGTTCGGTTTCCGTATGACCAGCAAGCTTAACAAGATCAAATGGATATTTGTGCTAACAAACAAAGTAACCTCGATTATTATGGTGTACTTCCAGCCCTAAGAAATAAGTAAGAGAATCCAAGTCTTTCATATGGAAGGAACTATGGAGAAGAGACTATAATTCCTGAATTCCAACCTCATCATCTCCAATCAACAACATATCATCTACATACAACAACAGGATTGTAATGCCTTGAGATCTTTGATGGATAAAGAGTGAGTGATTAGAGGCACTCTAACGATATCCAACAACAACAATAACAACATCTCAAAACTTCTCAAACCAGGCCCAGGGAGCTTGTTTGAGGAAGGAACAACTAAATCCCAAGTGTCATTCTCTTGTAAGGCATGAATTTCTGCATCCATGGTTTCTCACCAATGACAACTGATAATGACCTGCTAATATGAGTAGGGAATATTTGTGACAAATAACACAGCAAACAAGTAACTATGGTTTGAAGGGAAACAATAATGATCAGGAGGTCTAGAAATATAATAGGACCAACGAAGAGTTGTGATAGGAATAGAAACAAAATCGGAAGGAACATCACTTACGAGAGCATCAGTGGAGGGATGATCCAGGCCGGGAGGATGTGGGGTTGTAGGCATAGGATCTTGGGCACATAACCTTTTGTGAGAAAAGATGAAAAAATCTTTTGCACCAGCTAGAGGAAACAGATGGAGCAGATAGCCTAGCAACAACTAAAAAGGAGATATGCTCAAAGAAAACAACATTTCGAGAAATACGAATGCGACGAACAAAGGGATCATAACAATGAAATCCTTTGTGATCTGGACTATATCCCATAATGGCACACATAACAGACTGAGCAAATAACTGGGAACGTTTACGAGACAGAATATGAACAAAGCAAAGACACCCAAAAACATGGAAACTAGATAAGACTAGAGGACGACCAAACAGTTTCTAGAAAGGAAACATATTAGAAAGACCAGAGGAGGGAACACAATTAATCAAGAAAACAGCAGTGCTAGCAACCTCTACCCAAAACGAAGGAGCATGAGATTCTTGTAGCAGGATTCTCACAACACTAAGTACATGACCATTCATATGCTCAACCACTCTATTCTATTGAGGTGTGTTTGGACTACTTTATTGAACTTGTATCCCATGACTTCTTATATAGGATAAAAGTCTCCATCAATGTATTCTCCCCCTAAATCTGAATGGAGAATACGTATATGAGACTGAAACGAAACTTGTATCATAGCATGAAAAAACCAAAATGTAGGATATACTTCTGATTTGTCTTAGAAAGTAAATCTATGTGTACCTAGTGCAATCATCAATGAACAAAAACAACATAAAGTACTCGTATCCAAGTCGAGAAATAGCAATTGAGGTCCAAACATCACTATGTATAATTTCAAATGGTGAAGTGGCATGCTCAAATGTGAGGAAAGGGTAGAGTGTGGCTTTTGCTCAAACAACAAGAAACACATGAGGTATCAAAAGTATTTAAAGATGGGATTTTATTTTTAATAGAACCTAATCAAACAAAATTTTCAATTTTTTAAAATGTGGATGTCCCAAATGTTTATGCCATAAACGTTATTTCTTTTCCTAACTAAACATCAAGAAGAAAATTCTCAAACTCCAATGCAAATAAACAACCCAACCTACACCCCTTCCATTTCACCTTCCTAGTGTACCAGTCCTAAATCAAACAACCATCATGAGAAAATGTAAGTGTATATCCTTCGTCAACAAGTTGTCCAATAGAAATCAGATTAGTAGTAACGTTAGGAACAAAAAAAGTTTTGGTAAGAGGAAGGAGGTAGTAGATGACAACTTAGACAGGTCATTACTACTAATGATATTCAACTTTTCACCATTAGCAGTAATGATATGTCTATGATAGGCTTTAGAAATGCTATCTAGTGATTCAGGGTAAACTCCTGTCATATGATTAATTGCTTCGGAATCAATGATCCAAATATAAGATTGAGAAGAACAATAATAAGAAAACTCACCAGATAGGCCAAAAACAGAAAATGCAAAGGAAATAGCAAAGGATACCAGTTGCCGAATTTTCTCTTCAACCATAGATGCAAAAGGCTCACCCTTATCAGAAGAATCACCCTCGGTAGAGGAGATATCAGTGGTTTGTCCTTTAGTCAATTGATATGCACGGGGCTGGCACTGCTTCTGGACACCTTTAGATGGCCTAACCGGACAGTTTGGAATGATGTGACCATGTTGCTTACAACAAGTGCAAACATTCTTTTTCTTGCAATGAGAAGCAATGTGACCAAACCCCTTGCATTCATAACATTGTATTTTGAAGAAGTCCTTAGCACTAGATTTCTTGTTTCCTCGAACAACAAAAGTTGTGTCAGCCCCTAAGTCAATTGATTTCCCATCAATACTTGCAACAGTTAAGAGTCTAGTCTCCTCCCTCAACAATTCACCCATCACTAAATCCAAATCTGGAAGAGTTCCTCTACTCAGAATGTTAGACCTGATTATCTCATATTCAGGCCTAAGTCTCATAAGGAATTGATTCACTTTCCTCTTCTCAAAGTGCTGCTAGAGATACTTGACACATTCTGCAAGGTCCGAAGAGTCTGTATGGACAAGCTCATATTCTGCCCACAAGTCAACGAAACTGGCATAATATTCACGAATCTTCTTACTAGCAATAGGCAAAAATCTCAAATTCAATCCAATATTGTCTAGACATGTTGGATCAATATACACCTTCTTCAAGTATGCATACATCTCATAAGAAGTATGCATTCTTCTCATTGATATTGCAATATGAGAAACAACTGAGCTGAGTATCCAAGAGACTATTTTCCCATTGTCCAACTTCTATTGTGAATAAGTCATGGTATTAGTTTCATCCAGCTTAGTAACCTTCCCATTCAAATATTCCTCCAGGCCTTTCCCTTCAACAAAGAAGTCAAAATGGAACTTCCACATGCTGTAGTTAGTTCCATCTAACTTTACGGGAATGATATCAGCCTTCTCAAACATTCAGAATCACAACCATAGTCCAAAACAGGTTAACAGAGCTCAAAATGAAGCTAAAAGAAGGAAGAAACGGAGATTAACCACCCAACTTAAATGAGTAACAGTTCAAGATCAATACTGATGTAATACTTCACTAAATAAACTGAGATTATGCTACAGAAATCTCAGAATAATAGGGTTACATAAATGTCAGTCCCAAAATGGAAGGTTTCAGGACTGTCAACTACAAGGGTGGGATCAAAACCCTATCACAACCGAACCATTCTTCAAAGCAGACCAATAACAAGTTAAAGGAGGCCTGGGCAACACCAACTATAGAGTCTTAGGCTGATTGAATCAGCCAATTTAGAGGAAAAAAGAAAAAACTGACCTGCTGGGTGTCTTTTCCAGATAAAAAACCTATCAGCTTCCGCCGAGTAAAACAGCCTTCAAAAAACCTTCAACCAGAGTTTGATAGCAATCAAAATACTCAAACAATCCTCTAATAATCCAAGAAGCTAATCGAATCAGCAGCTGGTAGACATGACCCGCTCTAATATCATGTCAATCTTCCAGTTCGTGAGAACACCAAAGGTTTTAAGGGTGTCTACTGTAATGTTTGATCCCCACCCCAAATGAGTCAAAATATATATATTAATTATGTATAATTACAAAGGAGCCCTTGAAGGGCTGAAGAAGAAAAGTAAAGAATTACAAAAGAACCCTTAGAGGTCTGAAAGATGAAAAAGAAGAAAATAAGACTAAGACTAAGACTATAGTACAACAGGGACCATAAAACTATAGTACATCAAGTGTCTCCACAGAATAAGCTTGTGAAACAGACAATCAAAAACCAAAAGATTGTCCTAGTTGTGGCTCCTGGATCATTCATCTTCACCAAAGTATAATGTCATAAATAACAAAACATGTTTGCATGATTTAGATATGTATTGATTGTGCCAAATCTATGTCCATTTTGCAATGCTTTGTTTGGTGAATTGGGTAAGTATCTACTTAATTTCACATGCGCCTGAAATAAATTATTAACAAGTACAGTTAAAAATTATTGCAATTAGATTGGAAACTTGAGTTTTTCAATGTCCAACCAGGAGTGCCTTTTAATGTTATGCAATGTGAATTTTCGATAAACGTAATTATATTTTGAGTCTTCAATTACCATGTTGCATGTTTATTTATTGCAATCTTTTTCTTCTCAATATCCCCCCTTTTTTATCAGTGTTTTCTTGATAAAAGTAAGAGAAAAGGAGAAAAGAAGAAACAATGGGAGAAGAGCGAATAGAGAAGAAAAGAGAAACATATCTTGGAGAGTCGAAAGATTGGGCTAGCGGTACCAGCCTTTCTATTTATAGTAGGGCAACCCAATAATATTAACAAATAAGGTAAAAGGACAAAAATTCTTGATAATATCAGGTATGACTTGAATTCCGGTAATTCCATAAAATTTTGGGAACAAACCTGGGTGGGGAGCACCCCTCTAAAGGATCAGTTTCCATCTTTGTACGCTATATCTGATTTGAAAAATGAGCCGATCTCGTATGCTATTTGGAGAGGACTAAGGGGAAGGACAATGTGGAGAGGACTAAGGGCTGCAGTATGTTGGACACTGTGGGAAGAAAGAAACTCCAGGATATTCTCAGAAACTCAGAGAGGGATAGCAGATTTGAGGACTATCATACAGTTTAGGGCGGTACAGTGGCTGAAATATCTGGAAATATTCACAGATTACACTGTGGATGACATGT